AACTTGTCCTAAAACGTCATCTTTTAATGGATTTTAAAATTTTAAAACCTGGAAGAGTAAACAAGTCGTTTTGTTACTCAATAAGCAAAGGCTAGTTTTGTGGCATTTTGAACACAAAACGTGTTGCGTTCGTTTGATTTCCAGGTTAACATTCAGTTTTTGGCAACCAAATGGACTCATGTTTGTGTCAGAGGCATGAATTGCTGTCTGCGATTTAGTGACGGTACCGTTTGAAGCGGCGAAGTCATCTGTCAAAAATCAATTTCATTTGAAAGGGTGAGTTCCCATATGTTTGCCTCGGGCGTCAGATTATCGCTAATAGCTTAGCAATAAAAATAAATCATTTGTTGCTACCATAAATGTCATCCCAATTTCACCTGTCTGTTACAATATATGTCTAAGTAGCTTAGTGGATGTCTCAGAATGGAACAAAATGGACGTCCGTTTAAAAAGCCATTTTAGACATATGCGCACTGATACGAGCAGCTTCTCGAAATGATTTTTATAAAATTTTGGTGACTTGGCGGATTTTGCCAATAATATTGAGAAATTGTGTTTCACTCTGACAGTGTCGGTTTACACCCAGCTATACCCAGACTCATGCAGCATAAGTTTCTGCGAGTGATTGGTGGAAACCCTGGAGAAAATAAGGACTTCAAAGTACTAAGGGAGCCTTGGACGGTTAAACAGGCCCTTTAACTCACAATCGCGGGACATTTGATTAGTCAGATAAGTTAAAACAAGAATTATTGATCAGAGCAGAAAGCTGGATAGAACCAACAAATTTTATAAATATCTTAACAGGTAGAAGTACAAGTAACTTAAAAATTCACTTGAAACGGCACGACGACGACGGCGATGATGATGATGACTGATATAGACAAAATTCGGTGATGCATCAAGCATATAAGACCTAGGGGAAATCGAATTCAAATCGGCTGTGGGGTGACAGTAAATGCTGTTCCGTCCTCCTGGTAAACTTTGAAATTCTTCTGCAACCACCCTAGCCTGTGCCAGGCTCTCGGATAGTATAGTGGGAACGTATAAAAAGGAGCAAAGCGAAAATAAGACGCGCACGACTTGGGACAGCCCCCGCACGTTTTTCGCATTTCTTACTACTGAACGACTTTCCACCACCATCTCGGAGCCTGGAACAGGCTACAACCACCCCGACCATCGCGTATCCTCTGTTTTCGAGGTTTCACGTGTCACGCATGCAAAGGCCCTTATGTGTTCACGTGCGGTTCCGGATTTTCAAGCTGACTGTTTTTTCACGATGATGAGGTCCAATGTTCTTTTGTTTTCCCTGTTTTGTGTCTGACATTAATTTATTTTTTAGTTCGAGATCTTACCTTTAGGCAAGATGATTGATTTGTTCTTGTTATTGCTAAATTAACTTGTCACAACAAAGCAATTTATCATGCAGTTTGTTCCCGGGAGTTTTTTGACAGAACACCGCGTGACTGCATGAGTTCGTACTCAGTCACGCAAGACAAAGCTACTAAAGAGAAGAAATCAAATGCAAAACGAAAAGATACAAAGGACATAAACGTAAAGCGATGTTATTTTATGTTATTGTCAAATAGCGTGACGCTTCTTACAATTCTACAGAGATGCCACAAAATATTGAGAGAAAAACATGGGACCCTTCCCTTTCTACGTCTTTCTCGTCAAGCCCTTGAATGCCCTTCAACATTGCCCTCACACGAGATAAACAACCAATCAGAGAATAGAACAATTCGTTTCACCGCGCAATGTACAATTCAATAGTGTAGACTTCTCTGTCGTCTTTTCTATAGTTATTTCTGTTACTATACTCTGGGAATAAATATGTCGAAGAAAACACAGTTCACGTGGGAGGAACTATCTTCACTGAATACTCAACAGAATGCTCATGTTGCTGTTCGCGAAAAGGTAATATTTAAACGTTAAATTTACATTCCAACTTTCGATCTACAATGTATCAAGGTCGTGATCTATGATATTTTTTCCTCAGGTGTATGATGTTAGTAAATTTCTAGACCGTCATCCTGGTGGCAAAGATATTTTGCTCATGGCAGCTGGAAGAGACGTTACTGCAGTCTTCGAGTCATATCACGCTTTTAGCGATAGTGCAAAGAAGTAAGACTAAATTTATGCCGGTTACGCCGATCTTGATAACCTTAAGTTATGTAACTGCATGAATGGAAAGGTTTCTATAAACAAAGTTTTTTTCAATATCCTGGCGGTTAAATGCGGGGGAAAACAAATCCAGGAGTAGCAGAAGACCCACTCGTTCAGAACTTATAGAAACTATTACAGCTTACAACGCCGGCCGGCGCTTGAGTATTTTATTGTCTGTACTCTGTACTTCGTGTTTGATTTACGGTTTCCCCTCCAGTCAGCCGTCGTATTTATAAGTCCTTGTGTTTTTAAATTTTTAAGGCTTGCTAATAAGGGTTGCTACAAAATCATAGTAGCTGATGCTCAACCCTCCGGTATAGTATTGATAAACAAAATGTTCCCTAGTGGCGGAAGGGTTTCAGACAGAGGGCGGTGCCCCGGAGGGGACTCCGTATGTGACAGGGGTGGGGATGCTGGTCGGAAATTTTGAATTAAACCCCTAAAGGAGACCGATCTGGGCGGGGCCCAAGCTATTTTTGACCCCTAAAGGAGACCATGTTAAAACACAGACATTGTATATATTTTTATACTTTTTTGCGTGCAACCCTAAAGGAGACTTTCAAGGCTAAATATGACGGCGTTTTGCCCAGGACACCCTAAGTGAGACCAAAATCCGAAATTTATACTCCTAAGCGAGACGACGAGCATCCCCACCCCTTTCATATGGGGAGTTCCCCCCCCCAGGGGCAGTGCTCGGTCCTCACAAATGGTCCTTGTCCCATGTTTGGGCATAAGAGGCTGGGGCTGGAGGCGGAGGGCTGAGGGCTTGAAACAGGAAGAAAGGACAAGCTTACATAGAATTATGAGATGAGATGTAAAGNAGGGAAAGGTTTTTACAAACAAAGTTCTTTTTCAATATCCTGGCGGTTAAATACGGGGGAAAACAAATCCAGGAGTAGCAGAAGACCCATTCGTTCAGAACTTATAGTAACTATTACAGCTTGCAACGCCGGCCGGCGCTTGAGTATTTTATTGTCTGTACTCTGTACTTCGTGTTTGATTTACGGTTTCCCCTCCAGTCAGCCGTCGTATTTATAAGTCCTTGTGTTTTTAAATTTTTAAGGCTTGCTAATAAGCGTTGCTACAAAATCATAGTAGCTGATGCTCAACCCTCCGGTATAGTATTGATAAACAAAATGTTCCCTAGTGGCGGAAGGGTTTCAGACAGAGGGCGGTGCCCCGGAGGGGACTCCGTATGTGACAGGGGTGGGGATGCTGGTCGGAAATTTTGAATTAAACCCCTAAAGGAGACCGATCTGGGCGGGGCCCAAGCTATTTTTGACCCCTAAAGGAGACCATGTTAAAACACAGACATTATATATATTTTTATACTTTTTTGCGTGCAACCCTAAAGGAGACTTTCAAGGCTAAATATGACGGCGTTTTGCCCAGGACACCCTAAGTGAGACCAAAATCCGAAATTTATACTCCTAAGCGAGACGACGAGCATCCCCACCCCTTTCATATGGGGAGTTCCCCCCCCCAGGGGCAGTGCTCGGTCCTCACAAATGGTCCTTGTCCCATGTTTGGGCATAAGAGGCTGGGGCTGGAGGCGGAGGGCTGAGGGCTTGAAACAGGAAGAAAGGACAAGCTTACATAGAATTATGAGATGAGATGTAAAGAAAAATTCCTGAATGCTGCATGCACCTACAATAGATTTTAGAATTACAATGTATATACCCTATTCAGAACAAAGAGGCCAATGTCCCAGTACAGGCAACATAGAGAATCCCCCCCTTCCTGATTTTTTGTTACCATGCACCAATGAGGTTCAGCTGAATAGGTTTTGGAAACCTATCAATAATAGATCCTGGGGGGTGGGGGGCGGAGAGGGGCTGCATGCCTCTATTATCTCCAGGAATATTTCAGTTGTTTATGGTTTTCTGTTGTGAGTTTCACAGCAACAACATACTTATATCTTGTAGTTAATTTTTTATCCCAGGTAATTTTTGTTTTTCTTTTGCTTTTGGGTATAGTACTGTATGCTAATAAAGTTGAGACAAAAGAAATATAAAAATTATCTGAGATAGAAAATTAACTACAACATATACTCTTGTTTTAATATCAATTTAGAGCTTTTATACTATTGTTATTTTGTTATTGTCAGGGTTTTAGAAAAATATTATGTTGGAGACCTGATTTCTAATGAGTTACCAACTTTTCCAGAACTTGGGTAAGGTTAAAAGACAATAACCATGTTATTTATGTTTCTCTACCAACCCAACCTCTGAAAGAAAGGGAGAATTTGACATTAAAATGAAATAAAGTTAGTATATCATTCCACACACCCCCTTCAATTATGTGAAGGTTAATGTGAAGTTAAATTCCCCCTTAAAATTAATAAGTTAACAAAATTGTTAGGGCTCTTAGGTTAGGTTGGGAACAATACTGTATCTCCAGCTGTTTCATGAAAGCTTGGTCAGACTTCACTATGAAATGAACATGTTTTTGATAAGAGTGACAGTGCCATGGCAATGAGAATAGACATAGTGAGGCATTTATTTTTTCAGCACTTATTTCCTCACAGAGCCGAGCGAGCTGATAATTTTGTCAAAATTTGCATTGCATGTGGAAGGTGCGTGGATCGCAAAACAAGGCAGAACACAGAAGTCGGCTTTATATTAATATTTATATATCTTGACTTCCGGTTGGTAGTTGCAGTGACATCATTAATGAATTTGTGATGTTGAGGTGCCTTGGTTTGTTGTTTTCACCGTTTTTGCACCCGTTTTGGCAATCTAGAAATGATTCTGGCTAGAAATTTTGATTACAGAAGTATTTTACAGAAAACATTGAAGCAATTTGGGCCAGGAGCAAAAATTTAGTTTGGCATTTCCCAGCCGATGGGTCTAAGTTTCAGCTCCATTCTTACAACCCGAAGATTAATAATTCACATGCAAACTACCCTTTTTGTATTTGTTTTCTTAATCTGGTGGCAGCAATGATGTTAAATAATATGCTTTTCAATACATTTTTGAAAATAAAACCAGGCAACAGGAAAGGAGAAGAAGAAAAAAAAGAAAGAATAAAGTTAACAGATCTTGATGACGATATTTGTGGCAGTCACCCATCCAGCTTCTTACCCCGCCCAACAGTCTTTTATTGCTCAGTGCTTTTTTTTAGTTGCTGGTAATGTACTAGGCCAAGATGATAATAATTTATACTACAGGGGTGTGTAATAACTTAACAGGACTGAGATCTCCTTTTTCATGTTTGTTAGTGAATTTTTCCAAACAACAAGAGACAGAGTCAAAAAATATTTCAAGGACACAAACCAGGTAATTTATAAAATAGTAAAATATATTTGCATTCTGTTTTCAAATAGTTTAAAATATTAAAAGATTGTTTACGGTTGCTTTGTTTCTTTACTCTAATAAATGAATCTCATTAAATGTCGGTAGTTATATTGCAGTTTAATGTTAGGTTTTAACATGTGTGTTCTAGACACTGCTTCTACAATGACTCACTTTTGAAAGCTCAGGTTAACTATTATAAACAGTTAATTTACATCAACAGTTAAATACCTCTGAATAGGCTATTAAAAGGACAGATTGTTAAGTGCAATACTCACATAAGCTAATTAACATAACAGCTTAACTGGCAGTTACAGCCAATAATCTCAGGACTTAGTTGACCAATCACTAAAAGGTCAATAACTGGAGTTATTGACTATCAACTGCTGATATGCAACTTACTTTGACTTTGATGATGATCTCTTTCACTCGGATGCATGATCATACTTTATTTGACCCAGCTGTTGGTACTTATGACATGACTGATCTTGGGTTCAAACAATTTACAATAATTTCATTTCAACAGGACCCCAAATTTTCAGGATGGATGTGGTTGCGCTATATTGGAATTCCAACTATTTTACTTCTAATGTGGAGTGCTCAGGTTGTTTATAATATTAGTTTTTAAGTGTAAAATATATAAATTTTGAATGTGTGCAGCATCCATCATTTAATATATTGGCTGGGGCAGTCATAATATTTAAAACTGATTTGCACATTTAAAAAAAGAATATTTTGTGGAGGTTAATTTTAAATTTTGAATTTCAAACTGCAAGCCTGGCTGACCGAGCTTTGATACCTGCACCTTATTCAGCTGGCAGGTTTCTTTCGATAACGGGTTCTTGTTTATCCCTTTGCTTGTCTCACTGAGCTGAGATCATATACCTCACCCTTACTTTGCACCTTCAGTACAAATCTTTAAACATCTGAGGGACTATTTTACTACCTCTTAATTTGGATTAAGGTTTTAATTTAGGTCTTAGTACAGAAACTACATGTAATCCTCTATGAACATTTTTCAGTAATGTTTTTAATATTGAATTAATGAATTTTATTGTTTTAAACTAAGTTTAGAGAAAGAGCCAGTTAAAGGGTTATTATTTTGGCTTAAATAAGTTACAAATTTACCAGGACAATTAAGGTTTGTACATGTGAAGCACATGTTACAAAAGCCAACCTACATGTAAAACTGGGATGTATAAAACAGAAAAAAATAAGCTTGACTGGTTTTAATGCATAAAATCGCTCTTTCTTATGATCAGTGTTACCATGTCTTTTAGGTTTTCTGGTTGAGCCATAATTTTTTCTTGTCATGTGTTGCTGCAGCTTTCATGGGTTGGATGTGTGCTTTGATTGGGATGGTGAATAATCATGATTCCAGGTAGTTATTAACTGAAGCTTAATGTTTAAAGATCTTCCCGTTAATCTTACCCCTTGGGCATTTGAAAAGTTAAAAGAAAAATTACCTGAAAAAGTTGAACAGGCAGAACTTCTATTGCCAGGATTTTCTTGTAATTTGTTGAGATTTAATGGGAGTATCACAACCTTCTCTAAAAAGTTTCATTGATAATTATTTGTTATGTGATATTCATTATTTATTTTTGCACCTGTTAAAGGAACTTGAAGGTAAGGGGCACAGTGGTTAGTGCCATGCTCAGTCCTTAAACTGGATGCCCAGGGACCCCATTGATGGAAATTTCCAGCCAAGGACAGTTTTATGATAGATTTTTCTACCTTCAGGGTTAAAATAAAGCCCATTTGTTCTCAATTTTCTGTACCCTAATTTTGTACAGTGCAGATAAATAATTTACACTGTAATTTATCTTGTTGAATTTTAAGCCACTGTGCTGTTACACATCATCCTACTCTATGGAGGGTCATTGGCCACATTCATGATTTCCTAAATGGTGCTTCATTTTATGTTTGGATTTATCAGGTCAGTGATACAACAATAAAGATTTTAGTTTCTAGTGGAATATAGAAAATATGCATGCTTTCCTTACAGAAGTGTTTTTGGTTTAATCCTCTTTACCACCCTGACCCCAGCCTGGCCCACTGTCCCCTCAATAAGATCTGGTCACTGGCTATTTGCACAAAGTTTTATTGTACTAAGTGTTTATGATTTTGAAAATCCTGATTTAACTTTTAACTAAACAATCATCCAATATAGCATACTCTTGGTCACCATCCCTACACCAACATTGATGGCCTGGATCCTGATATTGTTACAACTGACGATGTAAGTTCCAATACAATGTTGTCTTTATTTGCATCATTATCAGGGATATTGACAAATTTGACACTGACTCAAGATCATGTACTGAGGCTTGATTCTAACAGCAAAGTCTTGCATTTTGTTTTTGTTTTTTTTAATTTCAGCATCCAGATATAAGGCGTATAAAGTGGACGCAAAAGTGGGTACCTCGTTATGTCTATCAGCATGTCTATGTGCCGCTGGTTTACTGCTTGGTGAGTTCTTTTCCCATCTTTGCACCTTTTATCTTCTTGCATCATCATCATTCTCATCAAAAAGCAGGTCATTTATATTATAATATAGAGTAGCTTGAAGTCTAAAATGGACCCACTACAGGAGACATAAGGAGCTGTTTACATGGAGGTAGGAAGATCCTAGTACCAGGAAGATTCTAGAAGGCGGAACAACTTTGCGTTGGGTTAACATGCAGAAATTTCGGTCCGTGTGGTGCCTTAAAAAGTAGAGAAGGTTCCATAGGGAATTAAAAAGTGGCGGGCGACAAAAACAAAAATGTGATTTGGGCCCTTTTGGTCTCTTTACTGGCATTAATAACCACCTTTAGCAGAATTATCACAATAATCAGCTCGTAGTAACACCAAATGAAATGCCTGGCCTTTATTGCCATTATTAGCCACTCAGAACAACCCACCGCCATTTTTGTATGGTTTGTCCCCTGAGGGCAGTTAAGTGCAAGGATCCTCCTTGTATTAGGATCTTCCTACCACTAAGCTGGGAAGATCCTAGTACAAGGCAGATTCTAGCTCTAGGGCCAAGTACAACCCTTTGCATGTAAACCGAATACAGAAAAACATATGGTGCTAGGATGATCAGCCTTCTAGGATCTTCCCCCCTCCATGTAAACAGCCCTTAAAACAGATGCACACACATGGGTGAAGTTGATCAAGCTACCAGCTTCTTTGTCCTGCACTCTTTACGAACAGCAGTGTGGGTTCTTTTTGTGCCCAAGTCTTGATTCAAATCAATGGAATTGCTGTGCTCAAGATAGTGCTTACAGTTTTTTGTTCAAAATTCTGCACTCATTAGTGTCTGTCTATTAACAATTTACATGTAGGTGTCAGAAAAAAGGCAGAAAAATATTCGTCCGCAGTTAGTTCAGTTAAGAGCCTGCTAGAGAGTTGGTTTGGCCAGGAATCCAATCTGGGCCTATCCATTCAGCTTTTCTTGTTTGTTTGTCTTTTGTAGCTTGGTTTGAAGACTAGAATTCAAGATGTTACAATTCTCTTCTTTATAAAGAAAAATGGTGAGTAAGTTACATGTTATAATAAACTGAAATACTATTTTTGCAAATTAATTAAAAAAAAGAAAGGAAAAAAAAGGCTCAGAACTTCACTTATGGAAGGCCTTTTTTCTCCAAATAAAAATGAATGAAAAAACTAAACGTCGAAAAGAGTGTCTACATCCAGCGAACAATTTTTCCACTTTTTCGCACCTGTAAATAAAACTGATGGAATCTTCTGATACAAAAACCCAGGTGGCGCTAGTTTCCGAACTGTAAAAGCCACCCGCACGTAATTTTTTTTACCAAAGAAAAGTCACCACGAAGTTGTAATTCCCAAAGAAGTCCTTGGATCATAATTTTCAAATCACACCTTCCTGTCACTATTATACCCGAGTACCCCATTCCAGATTAATTTCAGTATTTTTTTTTGAAAGTTTAATGCATCTTCTTTTAGCATGATTTGTCTCTTGCGTTCCAGGAATCATCCGCATGAACCCACCATCCAGATCTCAGTTGACTGTTTTCCTCGCTGGCAAGCTATTTTTCCTGATCTACAGGGTTGTGATTCCTTGTCTGGTACTTCCAGTTTGGAAAGTGGTGAGATATTATAGTACCAACCAGTGTGGCAGTCGTTTGAAGCGGGAATTCCGTGCGCACACGATCAGGATGACCTCGCGCGCTTTCATTCACGTGTGCCAAAAATCTCTCTTCCACCCTTCCCCACCCCTTCCGTCAAACGCTTGTCACCTGGGCTATTCAGCGCTGTAGAATCCTTCAAATCTGCAGAAGGGTCAGTACTCTCTTAGATAAGATATACACGTATATGTAGATATGTGTTACACCAAACTGTGGTAAGGTTTTTGACATCTTTTGGTTTCAAATTGAGTCTAAAATAGGCTAACTCTTAGTGCTCTATGAAACCAGGGTTTGGAACTGATCATGTTTTTATCTTGCCTCTCTTAAGTGTATATATTTTTATTATTATTGTTATTATGATGATGAGTCCTCTAAGCTTAGCAGATTAAAAATCTTCGCAAGATGTATGCGGAGGCCAGAACAGCTGTCTTTTGCAGGGTGTAGCTGCAGCACTCAGCTTCTACGGACAGGTGTTTTAGAGCCTTATTATTATTATTATTATTATTATTATTATTATTGTTATTGTTATTGTTATTGTTATTATTATTATTATTATTATTATTATTATTATTATTATTATTATTATAAAGGAAAAATAAAGGGAGATGTAAAAAATCTGAGCCCCAGATGGTATTCGAACACGGAGGGCGTGGGTTCGAATCCCATCTGGGGCTCAGATTTTTTCTGTGTCCTCTTATGGTTGATTCTTTACATCTCCCTTTATTTTTCCTTTATAATATTAATATCATTTGCATAGATTATTATTATTATTATTATTATTATTTTAGTTTGTTTTATTCAGTTTTATTTTTTTATTTTTTTACCAGGTTGTACTGTTTATAATCGCCGACATGGTTGCAAGTTACTGGCTGGCTCTTTGTTTCCAAGCATCTCACGTTGTGAGTGAGGTGAGTTCATCATATCTGACGATACTCTGTCGTGGAATTGGTTCTTATAAATGCTCAAACATAACAAGTATAGGAGGATCTGCGGTATGGATGACTGGCTACTTGCCCTAAGAGACGAGCTATTTAAAGCCGTAATGGAAGTCCTGTTCTTTGCCCACAAATCGAGGCGAAAAATAAATTATTATGCATGTGCACGTGCAATCTGTGACCTTGGAATATCAAATATAGTACACGTAAGATGGACTGCTCACCGTTGCTGTTCATCTTGCAGGTGGACTGGATCGAACCTGGTAAAGATGGAAAGATGACACAAGACTGGTAGGTTTTTGTTTAACAGAGGGGTGGGAAGGGTGCATCTTCTAGAGAACTCTTCAGCACTAATTCTTCAATGACAGAGGACTGGTTAGAACAATCCAGCCGTTTTCAGGAACGCAGAAAATGTCGAAAAGTAATTAATTTGAAGATCGCTCTGGGTTTTGCATATTTGCGCTATATGCAACGATGATGGCTACAGAAAGGAAAACGTCACGAATAAAGAGAATTGGCGTGTTTTCAAACTTCGTCCTGATTTTTCCAACTTGCTTAAAATGGCAAATCTATTGTTTAGTCTTCCTGAATTTGAATTCTTGGTGACTGCACAAAAGTTATAGAAAGAGGAAAAAATTCGCGGTCGATTTTTTACGCCCTCCATGAAACGCCGCTGATCCCAAAGTCACTTAGAAGGCAGTCGTCTAGTGACGGCAAAGAAATTTACCAAAAAGCCAAAAAGTGTGATGCACATGTACAGTTGTTGTTTCGCTCAGTCTCATTGCTTTTTTGGCGTTCTCGTTCCTGTCGCCGTCGTCGTTGCTAAAGCTCCTTATTGTCTTGTTTCTTAGGGCGGAGCTTCAAATACAAACAACACAGGACTATGCCACTGATAGCTGGTTTTTCAACGTGTTCACAGGTTAGTGTGGGCTGTATCGTAGATTCTAAAACCTAAGCTTCTTTATGGCGCCCCACTTCGCGCAGGTGGTTGATCACTTGCCACCTGAACAGGGTATGGGAAATTAAACTTCCAGCAACTATGCTCTTGATGTTTTATTTTTTTTTGGCCAGGAGGGGTGGGGGGAGAAAAAGAGGGATTCCTAGGTCATGGCATGTGGGACTGTTATGGAGGACGTGTTTCAGCAACAGCCAATTAAATAAGGGACAGCATCTGCAAAAAATGGCCCAAAGTGTAATACGGCGCACGGTCCCAACGCAGTCTCACGCGCAGCCCCAGAATTACGGGCATTTCAGGACTACACTTAATCCTGACAATCATATATTTCACCGGATTATTATAGAGACCTTTAGATTCTAAGACGAGGACGACTATGAAAACGAGTTTCTCAATGCAAAGTAGTGCGCACGCGTGAATAAGCGTCACTTTGGCGGAAAATGGTTAGACGTCGTCGGCATTCTAGTACGGGTTTTAGGGAGAATGTCGTGGTGGCGGGAGCAAGTTATCAGTGGTTAGAAGTTTTATCATTTGTGATCGGGAGAGGGCTTATCTCCTTCAATAAAAATAACCGTGTTAACTTTTCTGGTGAAAAAGTACAATGAAGCTTTTCTGGCTGTCGATTTTTTGAGAATACGCGCAAAAAAACTTAAAGTTATTCTCGTCCTCCTAGTCTTAGCCTCGTCCTCGAATCTAATAATAATAATAATTAATAATAATTTTATTATTTGTTAGCCGCAAAATAGCATTCAAACAGCCTAGTCCCTAGGCGTTCTCAGTGTGGTCAATCCTGGACTCTACCGTGAGCTGTGACGTCACCGAGAGATACTCGCCCGCTCTTTCCCAGACTTCGCGCGGACAACGGGTCAAGAGAGAACGCCTAGGGACTAGGCTGGCATTCAAATATATGATCTAATGCGCACAATCTAAAGGTCTCTAATGGTGAATTGTTAATTTAAGTTTTGTTTTGTCATCAGGGGCTCTCAACCATCAGACCACACATCACCTCTTCCCTGGAGTAAGTCAGATTTACTATCCAGCGATAACTCCCATCGTGCGTGAAACGTGCAAGGAGTTTGGAGTCAGATACAATTACAAGGACACTTTCACCCAGGCGCTTGGCGCTCATATTGGACATCTAAAGAGGCTGGGACAACAGCAACCGGAACAACATTGTATGAACGGCAGTAGACATGACTGAGTTGGTCAGGAAGCTATTGGCTCCTCGAGTCTAACTTCAAGCTACTCTGTATATAATGTACTGTAAACGAGGGTATATGAGATACTGTACATCCGAACGGTCTTGCATCGTCACGCAATCCTTCCAAACGAACGTTCTTTTGCGTGACGAACCAAAAGTACTTCTACAACTGAAGTCGAAGGCTACAGCACTCGTCAAATTTCGTTGCAACACTAGACAACTTATCTACGTTTTCCCCTATGTGTACTTCTTCTCTCCTTCTCCAGTTTTAAGATTCGCGTTTCTTTGGTAAGGGAGGGCGCGTAACGTCATTGTAACGTGGCATATGTTGCAACAATGTTGACAAGTATTGTAGCAAACTGTTGGCTTTGCTTCTAAAAAGAATTGAAATGATTTTAGAATAACTTATTCTGAACTTGTAACGGGAAGTCAGCTCTGTGCAGGCAGGAGCCCAGCTCCTGTTTCAGTACTATTTAGAGAGGAAAGTGTGTGCAGAGTGTCAGGTACATTTTAGGTGTTACCAGTTTGTTTGTTGTTTTGTTTCTTTCTTTGTTTTTTATAAATCAGTCCGTTATCTCTCTTTACAAATGGTCGAGTGAGAAGCCTTAGGTGTGTAAATTAAACTTGTGTGTAAAAATTCTTAGTGTTTGGGAATGCTGATGCTATTGATACTACTTCTACTGGCACCATTGTTACTACTTTTAGTGCTACTACTGTAAAGTTTATGTACTGATGTACGAGATCTGTAACATAAGTGGAACGTTACTGATTTGTGAATAAATTAGATTTTAACGGGGGATTTGTTTTCGACGTCATGTAGTTTTCCCACCTCTATACCCTTAATCTGCTAAACAGCCGTTTTTAGTGTCGTCACGCAACGCTCCTCTCGTTGCGTGACGACACTAAAAACGGCTCCAATTTTTTGAACATTCCGTCAAGAAACTCACGACTACCTTTTTTAGATGTTAAATGTTCCACCGGGGGGACACGAAAAGATGTTACATTTACTTTTTAACTAGATTCTTCGCAAACTTCTTGAAAATGGCCAATAACAACCACTGACTGCAGCCCCCCCCCCCCCCCCCGGGTTAGGGGGGGGAGGCAGCGGAAATTTCAGACTACCCCTGACCGTAGCCTTCGATCGGCCCCCCCCCCCGACGTAGGATTCTCGTCCCCCGCGTCCTTTCGCACGTTCCCCCCGGGAAAAAAGCGGGACCGGGCAACANCTCCCACAAAGACTGTGTGGTTGCCAAGATTAGAATGGATTAAGAGAACTCATAACTATTATTTCAAAACGATAGGTTATTGTTCCAGAACAAAAGTTAAGAGCCCTTTTACTTTAAGAAGGTTTTATGCAACCTGGCCCAAAGACTTGGTAGCGACCGTATATTGTCATCGCAGTTTCGCTTAGTATAATTCCAGTACAACATGATGATATTTTAGCGGACATTTTAGTTACTGTTCAATTATTGTATGATACATTCTGCCTATTTCTTTATTTTTTATTTAATTTATTATTCCTGCTCGCTTCGCTGGCCCTCAACCCAACCGTGAATAATTATGCTCTCCTCAGGCGCCTTGGCCGACGTAGATCCAACATCAAGTAAATTTGTCACAGCTCGGAAAGTTCTCTCTTGAAATCATGTTAAATACGTCGGCAGTAAGGCAGTTCACTTGGGAAGAGCTGATCTCGTTGAATCAAAAACACAATGCTCATGTCGCAGTTCGCGGAAAGGTAAGAAAAATCGGCGATGGAAAGTTGAATTTACAAACATTGTCCGGTATTTATATAATCTCTCAGACAATTACAACCACTGCCTTGATTTTTTCCCGTTTTGATGATTCTTAATTGTACTGTGAACAGTGCGGTATCACGAAAAAGCGAGTGCTGATTAGGCTTTCTCCGCATGCGAGAGACGGATATTTGATCCGCGATGGAAGCTTTAATGTACGACAGCCCAACTTTCAGCATAATGCTTCATGCCCCGGCATTGCATAACAAAAACCACCTCAACAACCATTTTATTTTTAACCAAGCATCAAGTACAGTAGTTTAGAAATGTAAATAATACAAATAAACAAGAGAAGAAAAAAGATTTCGCACAACCCGCCTTTTTATCATACACTGATGATAATAATAATAATCGATAATTTTATACAGAATATTGACTACGACTAGGATCATACATAAATGGAGGGCTTTTGAGAATTGAAAGCTAAAATTTTTACATAGTGTCAAAAACTCTGTTTTTAACGAGCATTTCCTGCGTTTCCCCTCTACAGAACACAAAAAGAATTTTCCAATTGTGTATATTTTTGCTGACTGCTGGAATAAAAATCCCTGGAAAGTGGGACCTTAGGCAACTTTCTTCCTTATGACTAGTCTGCTTACACAGCCGTTATTGTCGTCACGCAACGCTTCCCCCGAACGTTGCGTGACGATACTAAAAACGGCTGTGTAGCAGATTTGTAACAGACTACCTTATCACCGGTAGATGTAAATCTGTGAACAGAATTCCCGTTTGAACCCAGTAAAGAACAGTCCGTAAGAATCCACAGCGAGGAACCCAGAATCTAAGACTGTCTTGGATTACCTTATGTGGGACGGGTAGTTGTTCAACCCAGGCGGGCTATGCTCTGTTTAACAGGAATTTTTAATACAGGCCGCCGGTCAAATAATTGATATCTCGCAAAACGGGTATAGGTCTTATACAAGTGGTAAAACATGTCTTTCCCAACCATACAATTTTGAAGCACCTCTCTTACTCCAGCTTTAACTATTCTTTTAGGTTTATGATGTCAGCAAATTTCTCACCCGTCATCCAGGCGGTTCAGATCTCCTTCTTATGGCGGCAGGAAAAGATGTTACAGTCGTGTTTGAGACCTACCATTCCTTCAGTGAAATTGCCCCCAAGTAAGCTCTTTAGAATACTATTAAGGAAATTGCCTACACTAGAGGCTCGATTTCCGCTGCTTCCCCGCGCCCGGCCTTTGCTCCTCCCGAGGAAGCGGGGGATGAGTTCGGACTTATTTTCTCGAATACCGACTGCTAATCAAGCCTATCTACACTAATTCTTTTTCGACAACGCAGCGAAAGTTCGCGTCCATACTTTATCATCATTTTGGATTGTCTACACTGAGCCATTAAACAGAGGAATATCCGGCGATATGCTTTCGTTCTACAGCTTTTCTTAAGTGTACTTCTTGTAGCCTCGGTTCCAGGCTCCAAGATATTAGAAAAAGCGCATAGAGAAAAGTTGCGCGAAAACCGCGGGGAAGCTTCCCTTTTCTCTTCCCGCCGTTTTTCGCTCACACGCTTTATCACTGCTCGCCCGCTTTTTTCGCTCATCTGTACTGACCAAGAGCCTGGCGCAGGCTATACTTCTCGCTGCGCTAGTTTCAATGGCTCCAACGAGACGCTTGTTTTTCCGAGCAGCTCCTATTCGTTCTATTGGCTCATTAGAATTACAAGATAGGTTTTGCCTGGCAAGAAAACCCTGTGAGAAAAAGCTACGATTTGTTTGATTCCTCTGAAAAATGGCGCAAGTAAGAGGCGTGCTCCTTAAACTATTGAAAAAGGAATCAAGATTTGACTGACTCTAGACAACCATCTACAGTTGTACATGCATAGGTTAACAACTGACTTGTATATTTTCTTTCAACAGAACATTGCAAAAGTATTATGTTGGTGATCTGGTTACAAATAAGTTTCCGACTTTTCCAGAACTTGGGTAAGTTGAAGCTCAAAGAAAGAAAAGGAAACGGAGTTGCAACAAATGTTAACTTTTTGAGCCTCAACAGTGATAATTAGCAATTTTCTCCCTGTAATAACAATGATCAGGGGGATCATGAGAATTAAGTTTATGATTACCCGAGATTAATTCTCAGGATATCTGGGCAAGTTCTCCACACTTTTACGATAAGAAACGCAAGGGACATGTAAGAAAAATTTGAATTTTGATTTCGGGGACCAAAGGGTTAAAAGAAAAATGAAAATTACGGAAGAAGCTGAGATCCTGAGGTCAGGCTAAAAGTGTTGGCCGTGCGGTTATCTTGTTTACCCCGTCAGGAAACTCTGCTTTATTCTGCCTCTCCTTGTCCAGATGGGGTAACAAAATAAAATGATAAGTTTTTATTAATGTTAAGTTGCATCGTCGCAGGGAATTCTACAAGACAGCACGAGAGAGAGTGCAGAACTATTTCAAGGAAACAAAACAGGTAATAAGTTACAAATACGTCTAGAAATATTGAAGTGCGTGCCCTTCCTTTCTAATAATCGCATTTACGTTAACCCCCAGAACCCGGGCCCCTAGTTTAAAGCCCCATCGGCGCTCTAACTTTTCTTCCCGTGCGTACACTTTCAAAATCTCACGCTACGCCTGTGTTGAGATTATTACAGTTGATACTTAAGGGTTTTAGTAATTAGTTTGTAATAAACGGCTCTTTAATAAATATAAAGAAGCGCAAATCTTTCGAAGACTTTCTCTAAAGTGCAGGTTCCAACGGTGTTTTACTAAACTAAATAGTATAATAAATCAAAGAGCATTTTGAAATAATGAATGTATGTATTTCATAAATTGGAACTGCGGAATAAAGAAATAAATGCTAAGAAGATCTTATACAGGGTAAAAAATGACTGAACATCGGCCGAAAGCAACTGCAGGTGCCTGTTTCAGGTACCGAATGTAGGAGGTATTTTTTAGTACATGAGTACTGTACACCCGGGGGTACTCCTGGAAATTCTTGGTGGGGGTGTTGGACCTCTTGAAAATTATGTCATCATTACGTAGATTAGAACAGCAACAAAAAAAGATTTCTTAAAATTTCTTCGAATTCGCATACATGTCAACTCTCTCTTAACGGGCACCTTTATAAGAGGGACACCTCTGAAAAATTGACCCCTAGAGTTGGTCCCTGCCTTTCTTTACTCCTTTTACTTGAAACTCTATGAGACGGACATCTCTTTTACACGGACACTTATTGCCCGTCCCAAAGGTGTACGTTTCAGAGAGAGCTGACTGTATTTCTCTTTTAATTGGAATTAAACGATAAATACGTTCATACACTCCCGTAGTTTCCTCGAAAACAATACCCGATTCCAGACCAAAATGGACGAAGTCTATAGCCGTTTTCAGACCCAAACACCGGGAAAACCCTACCCTTTGGGGCGGCACATAGCTGTATGGCTTATATAAGGGATTACCCTCCCCGGCACTGTACATTTGAACTACTGATATAAGGAAATGTCTTTCAACAGGATCCTAAGAACTCACCGTGGATGTGGTTAAGACACGCGATCATGCCATCGATGACGATGATCCTTTGGCTTGCACAGGCTAGACAGTTTTTTCATTATTATTAATCATACAAGTCTTCCTAATTGTTTGGTTCTTGGAGAGCTTCTTTCAAAACAAGCAATCTCAGAATCAAAAGAGCCACAGACAGAGTAGGCTAAAGGCCTTAGCGCACAGTTTAAAATCGCGCACATATACTCCATAATTGTGATTACCTTCTTATTTTATTTTTTTCCGGCAGATGTTCTGGTTAACCCACAGTT